TCTTTCCCTCTATTTCATAATTTGCTTGTTCAATTACATCTACAGCCAAACTGTAGGCTTTGAGGATAATTTTAGGTTCAGATGGAGCATTCAGCACAAGTTTGGATGACAAAATGAACTAGTACAAACAATTTAAATGTTCCAGTTAACTGATGAGTCTATATACAGCAAGAAGATTTAAACTAAGAAATTAAGAAAATTCAATACTCCGCATCCATCTTAATGTATCAGAGAATCATAGAACGTCTTATGTTGGAAGCGACCTTAGAGATCATTTAATCCAACCCCCTGCCATGGGCAGGGACGCCTCTCAACTAGGTCAAGTTTCTCGAGGCCTCATCCAAGCTGGTCTTGAACATCTCCAGGGAGGGGGCATCCACAATCTCTCTGGGCAATCTATTCCAGATTCTTGCCACCTTCGTCCTGAAGAATTTCTTCCTAAGATCCAATCTAAACCTCCAATTCTCCTCCAATTTAAATCCATTTCCCCTTGTCCTATCAGTGGACACTCTTGCAAAAAGTCCTTCCCCAGCCTTCCTGCAGTTTCTTTCAGGTATCGGAAGGCAGTTACACAAGGCAGTTATGTACTTCACGACTATCATTCATTATATTGAACAAAAGGCTCTCTCTCTATATATATATGACGTATCAGTTACAAAAATCGCATTTCTCGAGTTTGTGAAATGGTCAAGACAGTACACAAAAAAGTTTAAAAAATCCAACCTGTAAAATTATTTTCAAAAGTTCAAGAGTATTAATTCTTAGCAGCACTGCTAAATGTTGTTCATTACAAAGAGTCTCTTACCGGGTCTAGGTTCTTAAAAAGAAGAATGTCCTTGCACGCCTCCTGCAGTCTGTTTCTTTGATCATCTGTTTTAGGATGAATAATCTGAGGGAAATAACAGAAAACCCTTTAAAGTGGTTATCATAAAGCATCACTAGCTGAAGGACTGAACTAATTCAGCTAAGCATTTTACACAGTATTTTGGCCATGCTTCATAACACTTTCATTTCAAGACCTTCAGGATTTGAATAAACACTCAATGACAATATTATATCACTGTAGCAATAACAAGTGAAGCCCTGCTGTATTTAAACTAACAAGACCTTTAGATTTGTAGAATCCAGTTAATTTCTGCAGGCCATTCTGGATACTTTTATCTCAACTATTGCTGCATAAACACTACTCTACTACTCTCTGATCATATTTGGAGCATGCACATTTTATAAAAAGAACCACTGTTACATTTAGCCATTTGCCATGACTACTTCCCAAAGAGTATTTTGTGAAACAGTATCTGTGTTAAATTTATATCAGAAGTTTCACAGAGAAAACAACAGATTTCACGCTACCCAAGTGAGCCAGAGCTTTATTAAATTACCAATATCCGTTTAATCTGAGTGTGAATCAAGTTATTCATTCAACTTATATGCTTAAAAAGTTATGCTAGGTTTCAAAACTGTGATACTACAGATAATCTTCTTGACGGTTTTACAAGCCAGAAATTGGGTAGAATATAAACACTTAAACTTGTCTTAAAAGTCATACTTACACTATTTCATATATAAAGTTAAGTAAATGCCTTTAAAATGTTGGTATAAGTAAAAGAAAAAAATATAATTAACTAGTTATTGCACTCTATATCTGAAAATCTTAGCGATTTTATAAATTAACTTTTTGTACCTTTCAAAAAAGACTAGAATATTGAGAAAACTACCGCAAGATTACAAGGAGACTAAAAAAGTACTTTCAGGAGCACTCTCTGGGCAAACATAATTAAACAAAAATGTTTCTTTAATGGATCATGTAGCAAAGGTGTGGTAATTTAGAATAATACATATGATCAGGTCCTACAGGGGTGACTATCACACAGACTTTTTAAATGTTCCTTTAAAATCAAAACCCAAGAGATTACTGAAGTATATTATTATAAGGATCCTTTTGGAAAGGAACAGCAGTGCTCATTACATTTTTCTTCTTAAATTTAATGCCTAAAAACTGAAAAAATTAAGTATTTGACTCAAAGCATTAAATACCCTAGAATCCGCGTCGTCCTCTTCGTCATCAGGATTGTAAGCTTCTGCACACACTGAAATAAAAAATAATTTTTAAAAAGTATAATCTTAATTCAAAGTACAATGTTTCACAAGATTTACAGGAATAGAAAATGCATTGTGTGGCACAGTAATAATACGCAGTAATGGAACATACTTAACAGAGAATCACAGAAGATACTGCTGATAAGGTCCATAGTAAGTCATCTCAAACTGCTGATGAAACGAAGCTACACTTATATCATTTTTGTGCATGTTTTCCATGTGTTAAAAGACCTCTAATATACTTACAAATTTCTCACCTAACCTGCTCTAAGTGATCTTACTTCACTGTAAGAAATAATTTGTCTGATGCCTAAACTAATTCTTCCTTGTTAGAAATTAAGCTATTCATACTGGATGGAGAGATGAGATCTCAGACCATTCCCCTCATCTGTGTAAGGTAATTTGGGGCTTTTGGGGTTTGGGTTGTAGTTTTTTGACGTTTGGGGTTTTTTGGGAGTGGAGTGAAATTTTTTTGCATACTTGAAAGCTTTTCTTTCCTACTTACCTTTTACTTTTTAGAGTAATTATTTCTGGTTTTTCAATTCTCTCCTTATAAATCACATTTTTCAGCTAATTATCCTGACTGCCATTCTCTGAACTCCTTCCAGTTAGCCATATTTTTACTGAATTTTGGTGCTTTTAACTGGACCCAGTATTTGAGCAAGCAGAGTACTGAGGACAACAAATGAACTGCTCCATACATTTTGCAGGTTATATGTCTTTTTCATCCATCCATATGTTTTTCACAACAGCTTGACTATACTTGTGTAATACTCATGACTTAATGTATCATTTTAAAAACCCACTGCTTAACCTGTCCTGTATATGGCTATTCTGCCTAAGTGTAGTACCACGTACTTACACCTATTAAATATTATTGTATTCCCCAAGCCATTTCTCCAATGGGTCACGATCATTTTCAGTTCTAAACATGTTCTCCAGCACTCTTCCTTTCCCTTCTCAACTTTGTGACAACTGTAGATTTAATAAGCATACTCTCTACTACATAAACAGATTACTACAGAAAAAACAGAATAGTGTCTAAAACAAATTCTTGTGGAATACACACACAGCAGTGAAACAGCAGTAGCTGCTTGGGGGTTACCCTATCCAACTGGTTTTGCAGCTATACCCCATGTAACTTATATTAAGACACTGCTTGATGATCCCAAGCTTGTTTACAGGGAAGTCTTGTGAGAGTATTCATTAGTTTCTGGAAGTGAAAACGGAGGACATCTGCTCCTTTTCTTCTATCCACAAGTTCTAATCTCTCATTATAGAGTATGAGATAGTTACAGGAAACCCACACAGATTGCTGGTTGTTGCTTTCCTCCAGGTACTTACAAAATGTTTAAATATAGGGGGCCGGTTAGCTCAGTGGTTTGAGTGTGGTGCTGACAACAATGACCAACACCGAGGTCGTGGGTTCGATTCCCGCTCGGTCCCCATGTGTTGCCTGGTCTAGTCGAGAGGTGGCGTCCCTGCCCAAAACAGGGAGGTTGGACTAGATGATCTCTAAGGTCCCTTCCAGCCTATGACATTCTATGATTCTATGATTCAAATTTCTCTAGGAACAAAAATGATCTATAAATCTATGATAGGACTACCCCCTCCACATCACCCCCGCCCTTTTACGGATCAGGTTTTCTATTTTTCTTGGTTTTTTTTTCTCACACTCACTCATTTGTATTCTTCAGAAGTAATGCTAACAAGGCTGATACCGATTTAGCCAATTCTTGCAGTTTCCAAGTATAGCATGTCTCAAACACAGCTAACGCGAAACACCTAACACATTAAGTACTCTGTAATTTGTCCTTTCTCTATTCTAGACTGAGTTTTCCATATGCTCTTACTATCACTAGTGAAAACTAATGTGCTTCTGTTAAGCAGTAGATAAACACTTTCCCGGAATAAGCTTTTAGCAGAAATAAACTTCCAGAACAATTTCTGTTACTCCTCATGTTCGTTCTTGTACACTGTCTTTTTCACAGTTTTTGGCCTTCGTTTCTATGATTATTTTTTTTCCTCTCACCTTTTGCTATTATTCTGCATTTGCTCTGAATAATCCAAACTAGTTTTAATTTTCAACACAGTTCTTTCTTGTGCTTGATATAAACAAGGTGCTTGTATTTCGGACAGATATATTTTACTGTACTTTTTGTCCCTCTCCTGTAGTGAATCAATTTGGATTTTTTTCTCTGTATATGTTTTCTCTGAGGAAAACACAACTCTTTTAACTTCTTTTCTCCGGAATCATTTCCAAAAAAATCATGCCCACAGTCCTCTCATATGCCCTTGAAACCTGTTGTTCTGATTCTTTTACTCAACCTCCTTCCTTTCCTGAAATCTGTGAGCTCTGTCATCCCAGGATAATTCTCACTCAAGCTGCCTTTTCTCTCCCTATTCTCAGACAGTTCCTACCTTAGAGTTGGTATCAAACACAATAGTTTCTCAAAATCTGGTCATAAGTGCACTGCAAAACATGTCGAGCAGTTGTTATTCTCTTTCATTGGTTTCCTGTACTCCGCCAATAAAAATCCCTCACTACAGTGGGGTCACAGCACAAGAGTCACAAGTCACAGAATCACAGGATTGTTGAGGCTGGA